ATCTCCTTGTTGCTTTGATTATCAACTGGATGGGAGTTTTGGTAGCAGCCTGAACACAAGGCAAGCAGCTGTGTCTCCTACATGAAGCATTTGCTTACAGGGGCAATGTTTTCCAAAAGCTCTTTCCTTTGCAGAGAAGCCTTTTTGACTCCGAGTGGAAACAGTGACTAGACACTGTTCTGTGTTGCTCTGAGGTGTGAAACATCACCTGTTTGCTGAAGCAACATCCCATAACCGCTGCTCCTAGGCCTCTCCAGCCAGATGATTCCTCATGTCACAGAGCCATTCGTTTTCATCAAGATCCTCGTCCCCACCACTTAGCATCTGCAGAACATCCTCGATGAGATGACACTGCTCTTGATGCTTCCCAGAATACAAGGAAGATAAAGAGTACAACTGATCCAGTCATCTGTTGGATCTGTACATTTAAATATGAAACAGAGCTCAAACATACCTGTAAATCTGAGCCTATCCAGCCCACACGTGGTATAATAAACTCAATGCACCTCACCATGGAGCTTCACAATGGCTATTTCTGTTGTAACAGAGGAGTGAAGCAGATGGTCTTTCTAATGAAAAGGTGTTGAGAAAGGCTTCAGATGTCCTGGGGGATCCCAGAATCGGGCTAAAGATTTGGAAAGTCCCTTGTTAACCACCGAGTCAAACTCCCCAGAATCCTTTTACAGAACCCCTGACCACCAGTCCTTCAAAGATTTCAGGAATTTGCATACTCCAGGGAAGATTTCGTGGATGAAGAGATGAGAAATTCTGGAACCAAAACATACTTGAAATTATCATAAGATGACTAAAATGCAACTTTGTTCTAGTTAGTAATTCTTACTAAAAGAGATTTTAGACAGGCATCATATTGAACCAAGACCATTTTCTTCCAGTGTTGCCATTCTAATTTCAAATTGCTCCTTGCTGCTTCATATCCTCTTCAATTCCATCTTGTGTCAGATGGAACCAGAATAGAAAAAACACTGTTTAACAAAACCCATTTGTGCCAGCTTGAAGGATGAACACCTGTTGTGGAGCATCTCACGCTTTCTAGAAGATTTCAACAGGGTCATCCCAGTTCATAGGACGGTTGTGTGTCTTCAGTGTGTGTCCAGTTGCTGTTTGGGTAACAAGACGGCTTTTCCCTGGAGACCCTGCAGACTCTGTGTTTGTTCAGTCTTCCTCCTATTTTCTGTCCTCCCAACACACTAAAACTGGAAGTACACCATGTCATCACACAAACAATGTACCAGCGTCACAAAATATCTTGCAGACGGACAGTATACATCCCCATGTAGTAGTAAGGACGATATTATTATTTACATTTTTCTATTGGAAGACCAGAGGCACAGTGTTCAAATTACTTGCCCGAGGGTACACAAATCACTTCGCTTTTGTGTTTCAATTATACAATGGTTTAGTGATTGATTCTTTCTTCAGATGGTAGTTGTGAAGAGTGAAGGAAATTAAATCAAGTCTGTGTATAAAGGGTCTGGCATGTGAGTTCTCAATGCACGGTGATTATTGTTAGCACCAATTATTTATGGTAATGAACATGATGTTGGTAAACATGATGGGGAAAATAATAATACCATAAATTAATAATAATAATAAGGTTGAAGTTAGAACACTCCCCCATATACATGGAAATTAGGGCAACAAATTACATCACATTTTGCGTATAAAATGAGTTAGCTTATAAATTGAGAAGTAATGTGCATCCTCATTCATTGCAGGTGGGAGCACACAATGGAATAACTCTTGTCTGCAAGCTGATCCACTTCTCGGGATTAATGTGGTAATTATATCTACACACATTGAAAAAGATACATGTGCGAAGATATTCAATGCAGTACTGTTCCTAAATGAAACACACACAAAATTTGAAATGCCCATCAAGAGCAGAAAAGGAGATTGTTAAATACATTATGATGTGGTCTAACAATGGAATGCGCTAGCTATTGACAAAGAAAGATGTCCATGGTATAATATTGGATCTAAAATAGATGTGTTTGTATGATTTGATGCCACTCGTGAGCCTAGACATTTTGCTACTACGTCTGCTGGTGGACAGCAGATGGATTCTTTACTCATTCTGTTGACATGGACACATTTTGCCCCATGAGAAAGAATTTTAAGGTTTGATGGTGTTTGGGTTGACTCTTCCAAGGCTACAGGCCTCCAGGAGCTGCGGCATCCTCATTTGTTCTCCCTGAGTGGAAACATCAGCTCTCAATTTGGAGATCACCAACAGGACTCACTGTGCAGGAGCCTGAGGTACAAAGATGCAGCGATGTGACACTTTGGAAATGGAAACCAGACACCAGGTCTCAATAGGGTGAGCGAGAGCAGAGCCGGGTGACAGATGGCGGGCCCTCATGATTAAGACAGAAAACCTGAATCGGCAAGGCACGTTCTATCCGGGATGAAAGGCACCAGGTAACCTTGGTCAAATGTCTTTTGAGACAATGGGTAGCACAGTGAGCTTTTATGTAAAGTCTTTCAGAACTTCCCTTTTTCCTGATGAAATCTGGAGAAGAGAAGATGGCCATACTTTTTCAGATTTCCTGTGTTAGGGGGATGGAATGGCTACATAAGAACCTCCCACTCAGGGACCCACAAATAAGAAAACTGCCAACGTATTTAGATCAATGGGGAAGAAAAGAGGTGCAAAGTCTGTAAATTATTCAAAGGAGTTATTGATTCTTGCCTACCACTCCATTTGACTATACACTCCCCCAGCACAGGGAATGTCTCAGTGTTGGTTCATCCTTGATTCCTCAGCACAGGGCCTGACATAAAGGGACTCAAGAAGGATTTTCAGAATGAATGCATGAAGAAACACTGTTTCCTGAATCCAGTCATGGCACAGCCATAATCCCAAGCTCCCTACCCTTCTCACCCCAATGTTTCATACCCTCTCCCTGAGAAAAACAGAGTGGAGACCACTGCAAAGGAAGAAATGAGGCCAACAGCCAGCCCCACAGCTCCGGCTAAGGTCTGGGAGGTTAGGGCAAGGCCTTGTCTTTCATTTCATTCTGGTCTCAGGCCTGGTATCCTAGGACACTGCAAGATGAATCAGGCCTAAACTGCTCAACACCCTCTGCCTCACACCTACCTCCTCTTCCCAAGTGGAATTAGAAGCATACTTGACAATTTCATCACTCTTGTTATGGGACTTCAAATTCATTCATGTTCATATAGAATCGCTGGAGGAAAGAGCTTTCAATGACAATGAGGTGAAAAAATGGACGAAGCTTTGCAGATGAACATCCTCAATAGGAGAGTACCAGCTCCTATGGTTCCATGGTTATTGAGGATGTTTCCCTGAATTGAGTTAAACACTTCTCTAGTGCATTACACTAGGATTCCAGGTGGGTAAAAATGGTCAAGGCAATAAACGTGATCAATATACAGTATCTCAAAGTCAATAGTCTTTCCTGTAGAATTAGTGTGTCTTTGGATTGAATGTCATTTCTCAAGGATATGTCGATGTTTGAGGGAGAAATTCTGGATGTGGCTGGTTACATAAATACTCGTGTTACCTTGTTTAATTTTTTAACACAACCTTATGAGGTCATTGAAATGTAAATATGTCAATGCCAGATGAGGCTGGCATTGTCTACATTGCAAAGCCAATGTAAATTGGGTACTGATTTGGGTCAAGGATTATACATATATATATATACACACACACAAACACACACACACACACACATATATATATATAAACATTCCTATGTACAACTCAAACCCTGTGTCACTTTGGTGAGTGGTGAAGACGGAGAAGCCGCTGTGCTATGAGAAGCTCAACTTGCAGATGCACCTGCCCTGGGGGTTGCTCCAGAGGAAGGGTGTCTCCCTTTGTGAGTTCCTGGGACTCCTGGATATTAAAGCATCATTAGAAAAGATCCCAGCCATGGTGGTGATGATGATGATGATGATGATGGTGATGATGATGGTGATGATAATGACAGGAATAACTAAGTAACTCTTAGGCACCAGAAGCTGTTCTGAGCATTTTACAGGGGCTCCTCATGTCACCTTCACAACAACCCTATGGCAGTGGCTCTCAAACTTTAGCGTGCCTCAGAATCACCTGGAGGCTCCTGAAAACTCTTATACCTGAATCTATCCCCAAGTTTCTGATTCAGTATCTGATCTGGGGTTCTAGAATTTGCTTTCTGACAAGTTCCCAAGGGATGCAGGCGATACTGTCAGACACCCCACACTGAGAACCACTGCCTAGGAGATGAGGGCTCTTCTATGCCCCATTTTATAAGACAGGGTAGTCACGGTAGAGGGGATACAAGATCAAGAGTGGGGTCAGGTTCCTTTCTAAAGTAAAGAAATAACTTAAGTGCACACCAGGCCAGCAGGGCTTAGAAAAGGAAGCTGGGATTTTAGGCCTTCACCTCCTCCCTCCCCAGGCTGCCTCACTTGCTTGGCAAACTGAACTCTGGGAGTCAGAGGACACCAGGAGAACTGGAATGTGAGCCCCCAGGCCATCAAGGTAAAAAGCCCTAAGGCTCCTCAACGCCAGTCTCTACAGTTCAATCAGGTTGAGGCTCCACTAGTGTCATGCTGAAAGCAGGAAAAGACAGGTGAGTCCCTGTTAAAAAATTATTCAGGCTGGGCGTGGTGGCTCACGCCTGTAATCCCAGCATGTTGGGAGGCCGAGGCGGGCGGATCACAAGGTCAACAGATCGAGACCATCCTAGTCAAGATGGTGAAACCCCGTCTCTACTAAAAGTACAAAAATTAGCTGGGCATGGTGGCACATGTCTGCAGTCCCAGCTACTCGGGAGGCTGAGGCAGGAGAATTGCTTGAACCTGGGAGGCAGAGGTTGCAGTGAGCTGAGATCGCACCACTGCACTCTAGCCTGGGCGACAGTGAGACTCCATCTCAAAAAAATATGTATATGTTATTAAATGATACCTGTTACAGAATGATAAGAAATAATTTATTTAGGTCCTTGAGGTAGGTATAGGGACCACAGCAAGAAGTCTTGCAATGAGAAGGAGAGACTGGGCTCAACTCTGAATACAGCATGGGCAAGTAGGAAATTATAGCCAAGGAAAAGGGTGGGGCGGGGGGGTCAGTGGATGGGAAATGACTATGTGGAAATATCAGGGGTAAGGGAGGATTCTGGCTAAACTCACCTAACAGGATTCTCGCTAAGGACAAGCCAAGTCTATCTGACATCACCTGCAGGATGCGGGAGGCTGAGGACCCTGATCAGATATGGAGAATGGGGATTCTTGCTAAACTGACTTAGCAAGTTTCTTTGCTAAAACTGAAATTTCACAAGGAAGTGCATAGATGAGTCTAGCACAGCATTAGGAAGCCTGACTAAAGTCTGGTCCAACAAAACATTTTCTGTCACCACATAGAATGCATGCTGCAGGGAACAGGCTGGGCCTCAGCATCTTCCTACCCCACCAGCTTCTGGGAGGGCATTTTGCCTTGTGCCTCCTGGGTGTCTCCTTGCTTGATCATGTCTAGGAGACAAAAGACTTGCACCTTATCATCTAGGATAAATTCAGTGTCAGATTTTTAATCCTCAATCAGGTGACAATGCTTCAGTGACAATCTCAGGAATTAAAAAAATGAAGTTCATTCATTCACCAATTCTTTGTGTGTGTGTGGTTTAAGACAACTTATTTTGCTCATGATTTTATGGATTGGAGCCCAGGTACATTTGATAAGATGGAGAAATGAATTCCACCCTTTGAAGACAAGCAGGAGCATCACTCTATGGAAGATCATACAGGCTGGAAGAGATTTCTGCAGCCATCTTTGGAGAATACAATGTGCTACATATGTTATTAAAGATTCTTCATCACTGCAATGACTGAATCGTATTCTAATTAAAAATGTATCACCATGGATTTAATGAATTTCAGTTGCTGGAAACTTTAGAAACAGTATTATAAACATCTTCATGATGAACATCATTCTACATAAAACTATCTGCACCTCTGAAAATTTTTTATTATGTTAATTAAGGCAGAGCTACTAGATTATAAAGTTAAAACTACTGGATATAAATGGCCAACTTAATTCCCAGCAAAAACCTAATCGAATCTGCTTCATTTAAGAATATTTTACTCTTTGAAAGAAAAATATTCCCATCAACACAGCTTACAAATAAATGTGACTATTTTCATCTATTATTTTTACCAATAGTTTTTTAGATATGAGCAAAATTCCCACTAAAATTTGCATTAGAGTTTAATTAAACCTATAAATGAACATAGGATGTACTGGCCCATCTTAAAATAAGTCTTGTGGTCCAGAAGTCTTCTACCCTGATCTTCTTTTATAATTATTGTGAGAAATGTATACTATTTGTAACTGAATTATTTCTAGCATTTTACACTTCTGTAATTGTTTAAGGAGGAGCTTTTTTCCCCATTATATGCTTAAGTTGACTATTGATGCATAATTGGGAAAGTGTATTTATGTGGGTTCAGACATCTTTCTAAATTCTTTTTTGTTCTAATAGCTTTTAATTGATTCTCTTAGGCTTTCCGGGTAGACAGTCATATTAACAGCAGGTAGTGATTGATACTTTTTTTTTTTCATCAGGTTAGATTGGGGAGAATTGATGGGCTTTTCTTTTTTTTACATTTTGAATTATTATGAATACAGAATTGTTGTACATATTTATGGGGTAAATGTGATTTTTTTCCCAACTTTTATTTTGGATTCAGAAGGTAAATGTGCAGGTTTGTTACCTGGGTATATTGCATGATCCTGACGTCTGGAGTACGAATGATGCAATCACCCAAATACTGAGCATCTTATCCAATAGTTAGTGTTCAGCCTTTGTTACCACCCCCCACACTCCTCTAGGAGTCCCCAGTTTCTATTGTTTCCATGTTTATGACCACGAGTACACAAAGTTTAGTTCCCATTTGTAAGTGAAAACGTGGTAATTCCTGTATTAATTCACTTAGGATAATGGCCTCCAACTGCATCCATGTTATTGTAAAGAACATGATCTTTTTTATGGCTGTATAGCATTCCATGATGTATATGTACTATATTATCTGTATCCAGTCCACCATCGATGGGCAACTAGGTTGATTTCATGGCTTTGCTATTGTGAATAGTGCTGCAATGAATGTGTGAATGCATGTGTCTTTTTTGTAGAATGATTTGTTTTCTTTTGGACACATATCCAGTAACAGGATTGCTGGTTCAAGTCGTAGTTCTGTTTTAAGTTCTTTGAGAAATCTCCAAACTGCTTTCCACAGTGGCTGAAATAATTTACAGTCCCACCAAGAGTATATAGGTGTTCCCTTTTCTCCACGGCCTCCCCAGCAGCTGTTATTTTTTTACTTTTTAATAAAAGCCATTCTGACTGGTGGGAGATGGTATCTCTTTGTGGTTTTGAATTGTATTTCTCTGATGATTAGTGATGTTGAGCAGTTTTTCATGTTTTTTGGCCACTTGTATGTATTCTTTTGAGAAGTGTCTGTTCATGTCTTTCACCCATTTTTCATGGGGTCATTTGGTTTTTGCTTGTTGAGTTGTTTAAATTCCTTACAGAGTCAATATTAGACCTTTGTTAGATGTATAGTTTGTGTCATACACCAATTCTAAAAACACACATAAACTTTTTTTTTTCCACTTTAAGCTCAGGGGATTAGTGTGCAGGTTTGTTGCATGGGTAAATTTCATGTCACTGAGGCTTGGTGTACAAATGATCCCCTCACTGTGGTAGTAAGTGGAGTACCCAACAGGCTGCCTTCCAATCAAGGTCCCCCTCTCAGTCTTCCCCCACAAGTAGTCCTCAGTGTCATTGTTCCCATCTTTGTGTCCACGTGCATTCAATGTTTAGTCCCCACTTATAAGTGAGACCATGTGGTATTGGTAAAACATTCTTTTTAAAAATATTTGAGACCATGAAAAGAAAATAGAACTGAATAATCAAACATCCCCAATTCCTTATATGATCCCTTCAAAACCCCCAACCAGGGGAATCTTCTCAATATAAACTTTGGAACTTTGTTAATCTCTCACTGCACTCTGGAGGTTTATACTTGTTTTTCTTGTGTCTTGTTTTTCTCCCCCTTCCCACGCTCGGCTCTGCAGCAATGGCTGCCTCTCTGTCTAGGTCTCTGTCTTATCTCATTGTCCTCAAATCAGACATGCAGCTATGGTCCCAAGCAATTCCAATTTCCCCCTCAAATCCACAGGATACACCGCAGACCCAGTTTCTACTGTCGAGAACTAACCCCATTTCATTTTGGTGAGTCCATCCAATACCTCCACTTGCCCTGTGTTTCTCCAACCAGATCCCTGGCCTCTTCCACAGTCCTTAGGTAGATGCTTAAATATTTTTATTCTACCATGGTGGCTCTAGTTTCTCAGGGGGCAGTACGGTGGCTTTTTAGGATTGGTCTAATCAGATCCTCATTTCTTTTCCCTTCCTAGGTTTTGAAACATGAATCCTTCACTTCTCCTGGCTGACTTTTGCCTGAGATTAGCCTCAGCTACTCTAACAGCTTAGATACACAGTGGAACCAGTGGAAGGCAAAGCACAAGAGATTATATGGCATGGTTGGTGGCACCTGAAACCATCCAAAGGGATTCCTGAGAGAATGGTCCTTGATGTTGGGAGATTATAGCCAGAGAGTAGCTACTAGAGGCCAGCTCTTACCAATAACCTAATGCAATAACCTAATGGCACCGATTATGAGCATGATATGGGCATACCCTCCTGTCGTTTCTTGGCTTGGAGAACAGCTCCCAGAGGCATCAAGCCTTCCCTGGCCATAGTTTCTTTTCCATGTCTGTCTGCAGATTCACTTGGTGAGCATGAGTTGCATTTTAGGTAGAAATAAAGAGCCACAGTTACATGTTTGCCTCTACAGTGAAGAAGGATGGAGGAGAGCAGTGTGGGAGAAGAACATGAAGATGACTGAGCAGCACAATCAGGAATACAGCCAAGGGAAACAACTTCACAATGGCCATGAGCACCTTTGGAGACATGGTGAGTGTGCTGTGGACTGCTGTGTGAACTCTGTGCTTCCTCTCCTCGGTTCTTTACTAAAATAATCTCTTACTTTTCAACATTTTATTTCCTTTTCCTTGAAGACCAGTGAAGAATTCAGGCAGGTGGTGAATGGCTTCCAATACCAGAAGCACACGAAGGGGAAAGTGTTCCAGGAACCTCTGTTTCATGATATCCCCAAATCTGTGGATTGGAGAGAGAAAGGCTATGTGACTCCTGTGAAGGATCAGGTGAGACAGTGTCAGATTCAGACCTCCCATCTCGCCAGGAAAGCCAAGAGGTGATCGACCTCTTTGCTTTAGTGGCGTGTAGAACAACTTGCTGTTCATAGTATTCAGATATATGAGCTGTTGTCAAAGTTTTGCTGTTTGCTTTGTGAATGACAGCTTTTTTCTTCTTTTTTTTCCGGGTAAGTGTGCATCTTCTTATGCTTTTAGTACAGCTGGGGCTCTGGAAGGACAGGTGTTTGGAAAACTGAGAAACTAGTTTTACTGAGTGTGCAGACCTGGTGGACTGCTCTAGGTTTCAAGGCAATGTTGGCTGCATTTTTGGAGAACCATTATTTTGCTTCCAGTATGTTGCCGACAATGGAGGCCTGGACTCTGAGGAATCCTATCCATATGAAAGAAAGGTCAGTGGAGTTCTTTATCTTGCTGTCATTCCAGCTCTGCTTTTGGAAAGTGGAGCACTTTCAGAGATAACAGACACTTTTTTCAGAACTCACATTTGAGATGGTAGAATCTATATCTGCAGACTGTCAGTGTTGTCATTACAAATTATTAGCCTTTGCACAGTTCTATGATTATGTGGTTAACATACAGCTGTTCTTGCTATATGTCAGCAAGAACATATAACATAGAGAATAGCCAAACATAGTAACATTGGGAATATACAAACCATTTTACATATAATACACATTTCTCCATTGTGAAAAAATTTCTTGTGGATCATAAGCCTAAGGGTCTCGTTCAAGAGACTTGAGCTAATGTTTAGTTTCAAGTCAACTAACAGCACTTCATTTCCTGGGAAATCCTAAGCTGCAAAGTGCCGAGCATTGTGGTTCTAACTCATGTTGTCCAGAGGGAAGATGGTGGTAATCAAGGCTCTTCCCCCCTTACTTTTAAAAGGAAAAAGCCTGTAGGTACAATCCTGAGTATTCTGCTACTAATGACACTGGGTACATGCAAATACTCCATATGGAAGAGAAGGCCCTAATGAAGGCTGTGGCAACTGTGGGACCCATCTCTGCTGTTGTTTACGGATTTCTTGATTTCTTCTGGTCCTATAAAAAAAGAAGGTAAGAGTTTTTCTTTGTAGATGTTGAGGAAGAAAAATTGAAAACCACATGACATACAAGCAGAATGGACTATTTGGTACAAAACATTCAATGTATATATTTGGGTTCGTAGATTTCACAGTTTATTTTATACATGCAATCTTTCTTTCTTTCTTTCTTTCTTTCTCTTTCTTTCTTTCTTTCTTTCTTTCTTTCTTTCTTTCTTTCTTTCTCAATCAAGGCTCTTCCCCTTACTTTTAAAAGGAAAAAGCCTGGTAGATAATCCTGAGACTCTGCTTACTAATGACACTGGGTACATGCAATATCTATATGGAAGAGAAGGCCCACGAAGGCTGTGGCAACTGTGGGACCCATTCTGCTGTTATTGATGATTCTTGATTTCTTTCTGGTCCTATAAAAAAAGAAGGTAAGAGTTTTTCTTTGTAGATGTTGAGGAAGAAAATTGAAACCACATGACATACAAGCAGAATGGACTATTTGGTACAAAACATTCAATGTATATATTTGGGTTCGTAGATTTCACAGTTTATTTTATACATGTAACTTTCTTCTTTTCTTTTCTTCTTTCTTTCTTTCTTTCTTTCTTTCTTTCTTCTTTCTTTCTTTCTTTTCTTTCTTTCTTTCTTTCTTTCTTTCTTTCTTTCTTCTTTCTTTCTTTCTTTCTTTCTTTCTTTCTTTCTTTCTTTCTTTAGATGAAGTCTCGCTCTTGTCTCCCAGGCTGGAGTACAATGGCGCAATCTCAGCTCACTGCAACCTCCGCCTCCTGGGTTCAAGCAATTCTCCTGCTTCAGCCTCCTGAGTAGCTGGGATTGCAGGTGCCCACACCCGGCTAAGTACTTGCATTCATGAGGTTATGCTTAATGTGCCCATGAATGTACATACTTCATAACTCTTTATAAATTGTTACTTATGGCTTGGCGTAGTGGCTCACACCTGTAATCCCAGAGCTTTGGAGACAGAAAGGCTTTGTGACTCGTGACTCCTGTGAAGGATCAGGTAAGATAGTGTCAGATTCAGATCTCCCATCTCCCCAGGAAAGCCAAGAGGTGATTGACCTCTTTGCTTTAGTGGTGTGTAGAACAACTTGCAGTTCATAGTATCCAGATATATGAACTGTTGTCAAAGATTTACTGTTTGTGGGTGGATCACTTGAGGTCAGGAGTTCAAGACCAGCCTCGCCAACATGGCGAAGCCCCATCTCTACTAAAAATACAAAACTTAGCCAGGTGTGGTGGCAGGTGCCTGTAATCCCAGCTACTCAGGAGTCTGAGACAGGAGAATCACTTGAACCCAGGAGGCAGAGGTTGCAGTGAGCCGAGATCGAGTAACTGTACTCCAGCTTGGGTGACAGAGTGAGACTCCATCTCAAAACAAAACAAAACAAAATCATAATTCGTACGTTTAAAGGCTTTTTTCATGTTTATGCTTAAGTCTTTATTGGGCATCTCCTATGAGATGGTGCTGTGCTGGCCTTGAGGACATACAAATGAAGCATATTCTCACAGCTTCTTCCTCTGGAGCTCCTATTTCCACGTAAACAAGCAAATCAAAACCTGGCACAAATCCACGGGCAAGTGCAGCACTGCGCAGGCTCTAAAGGGAGCCGGGGACAGTCAGGGCACACACTAGGAAGGTGCTTCCCTCTAGGGGTCAGGGCCGGTCTAAGCAAGTAGCATCTGATCTTGATTTCAATAGTCCATAGCTGTCATGTGTTGGACAGGGCATGAGGGGGCAGTTTCTCTTTGTGCAGTATTATTTCGATTTTTAAGTAATGAGCATTCATTATTTTCATGAGATAACAGATTCAGAAAGTATGTAGTTCAAGAAAAAAAGTTAAAGAATTGATAGAAGAGAATAAGGAGGAGGAAGAGGGGGAGAAACAGAGGGTCCTCAGATAACTCGATAAAGGCGAGTCTCTCATTTGGGGACTGATGTTCCTGAGATCTGTGTGGACGCTGCTCAGCGGGTCCATCACACAGCACAGGCCTGAGGAAGCACCACTGCCCAGCTGGACACCAGGGCACTCCACGTTCATCTCAGTCACACAGAACCTCTCTGAGGATGGTGGCTGTTGGCTCCAACTTACCATTCCCAGCCAAGAGAAACAGGGAGGGGGCTTTGCTAAGGGCTAAAGGAGGGATGGACAATGAGGAGATAAACTAGGACAGTGTTGTGATGACACTGCTTTGGTGAGGATGCAGAGTAGTGACTGTGCTCAGAACTCCAGAACACTTGCTCCCTTCCACTGCCCCGCTCCCCACAACCACGCACACTCCCCTCACCCCAACCCTGGGCAGTATGTTGAGCTCTGAACAGATGTGCTCTTTTCCTGGTGCTTTATATTCTTTCCTCTTCAGTCACATTCAAGAGCAGCACAAACTGCAAATCACCGAGCACTCAGGGGTGTCCAATATAGGTAAAAAACAAGACCAAATTCTTGGCTTTGTGTCTGTAATTCTGAAAAAAGATTCCAGCAGCGACTTCCTGTTTCCATTACAGCATGGAAGGAGTTTGGAAGTTGTAACTATCTACTAACAAATAAAAACCTGAATAAACTTTAAAATCAACAACTCTTCTTAGATCCCTAAGACAAGTGAAGTCATGAAGCAGACCACTGCCCTAATTCCTGGAGAGAGAAAGGAACACCAAGAATCGCAACTCACAGGAGTGGAGACCGTGACCAGAGGCCTCTGCAGGAACAAGTGCCTAGTAACAAAAACCAAGCTGTAACTGACAAATTGCCAGAGGCAGGGTGTGGACAAATCGCAGCATTAAAACTCAGCCCTGGGTTCGGTCCTGGCTTCGGTCCTGGCTTCGGTCCTGGGAGTGCCCTCGGGTTGCATAGCTTCAGTAGCTCCACCAGGCTCTCAAAGTGAAAATCTGAGAATTCCCTTATGATTCCTGCTGGGGACGGAAAAAGTAACAATTTTGGAATCCGCCAGAGCGTTCTGTTCTTCTCAATAAGGCCTACACTCAAGAGACACTGTTTCACCAAACTCTAACCTATTTGGGTTTTATCAAAGCTTAACCGACCTGAGCGGGGAAATACCCAACTCCAGCCTGCTTTAGCCTTCCAGGTGGAGAAGGGTAGCACCCAACAACAGCCCACTTTGGCCACCCTCTTCTGTCTAAGGAGGGAAAAACTGAGAGGCACTTGTAAATTCCATAGTGCAGGGACACAGACTTGTTAAAAAACTGCAACTCGCAGGACTAAGGAGTGCTTCTCCTCCCTCTAAACCATACCACCACTTTCCTAAAGGGTCATTTATCAGAGCTCCTTTCACTGTACCTCAAGTTCCTCTTTCAAAAGAAAATTACAAGGCATTCTAAAAGGCCAAAAGTGAGGTAGGAAAGTAGGGTCTGGGGGCAGAAAACATAAGGCCGATTCACACTTCAGCTGTGTCAGGAAATATCCTCTCCATAGGGTACAGATCAAGTAAATGACTTTGTAACTTTACTTCATCCTCTCCATTTGCACAGGGCATATGCCAAGTAACCAATGGAATCCTCTAGGGGGTATTTAAACTCCCCAAAATCTGTAACAGGGCCTTTGAGCCAGTATGCTTAGGCCTGCTCCCACACTGTGGAGTGTACTATTATTTTCAATAGAACCCTTCATTCCTTCCTTGCTTCGTTTGTGGGTTTTGTCCAATTCTTTGTTGAAGACACCAAGAACCTGGACATCCTCCACCATTAACAAAAGCACAACTTGAAGAGACAGAACAAGCCTCAGAACAAGAATCAGATATGTCATGGGTGTCAGAACGATCAAACCAGGAACTTAAAATAGCTATGATTACTATGCTAAGGGTTAATGGAAAAATTAACAAGTGAGAACACATGGAGAATGTAAAAAGAAAGATGGAAATTCTAAGAAAGAATGAAAAAGAAATAGCCTCTCAAATTGTAGGGTAAATTTGTTTTCTGAAGCTGCCTTATCTGCCTAAAGTCTGGACCTACCAAAGAGGAAAATAATTACCTCTGTTTCCCTCTCCGAGCTTTCATTAACTGAGCTCATGTTAAGAGGAAAGAAACTGAAGTCTGTCGACAAACCTGGACGGAGTTTTGTCACAAACCACTGTCTGCCCTGCGGGCCCAACAGACTTTGTCCCAGACCACTGTATGTTCTTGAAGCCCATTGAACTCTCTCTGGCCATCATTTACTGCCCCTCCGCAGAAATCCTCTTCTGTCCCCTCCCGTAACCTGTTTTTCCAGGATCCAGGCCCTGACTTTGTAACCTCAAGAGAGCATATAAGCTTCTGCATCCCACTGGGGAGTTGCGTCTTCATTCTGAAGTCTCCACGTATACATGTTAAACAAATTTGAATGCCTTTTCTCTAATTAATTAATCTAATTAATTAAAGTAATTAATGCCTTGTGTGAGTTGACTTTTTAGTGAAGCTTCGGAGGGTGAAGGAAAAGTTTTACCTTTACTCCTACACTGGTATTATTCATCTTAAAGATGTTTTGGAAGATTAGTGTGCCCCGGTATCACTGAAACACCCTTGTTGGGATAATATTGTAAGATATGTCACTGAAGATTTTAGATAGAATGGTCAGAAAACACAGGAAAGTAACAGGGCATGTGACAAGCCCTTGAGACCTGGCGGGGGGCGGGGGGGAACGCTGGGGGGTGGGGAGGCGGGGGTGGTGGGGCGGTGGAGGGGGCTGGGGGGGCGCTGTTCACCCGAGTTCTTAAAGCAGAGATGGACAGATTAGGGATGCAGGGCCGTAAGCATGACCTGGAGCCACATCAATACACTGCCTGTGGTGAGCACTCTTCTATGCTTTGATGTGGGATTAAGGAACTTCTGTACTTCTGTGCCCTTGGGGTTTCTCAGTCAAACCAGTTCCCATGATCATTGCTTACTCTCTTGTTGTTTCCGTGTGTTGAGCTCCATATATATGAGGAAACACGGAAATAGGTCAATGGTGGGCATAATCTCTGGCTAAAATGTAAGCTTGCCAACCAGTGGCCCATCTAGGAAACTTTTGTTCTTCCCCTTCTTCTCTTGCATATTCTCAGAAACATAATAAGCACTTCAAAAATCACTTTCTTGGACTGACCACTGTCGTTATTCCTGGTAAACTGTGTGTGGAACAGACATGAGTGAACGTTTGCCCTCAAACTCCAGTCTCTATGTCCTCACCTGTTCGTAATTTGATGAAAAAGTCATTGATTTGTTATACAAATGCAGACTCTGTAAATGTTTACCAGATAGAGCAATTAACCCACCAGCTCTCTGGTTATAACCCATAATGTTCCCCATTCCCTCCACCTTGCCCTAGAACACTAAGCCTGCCCTTGCGGTGCCTTGGTTTCCTCCCATTAGTGCTTCCAATGAGTAACTTGCTCGTGGCTGTTTTCAAAGATTCGCAGAGGACCTTACCCTTTGTCCTTCCGGCAGTTTTATCTGTTACTTCTCAATACTTTTTACGTAAAAAAATAAATAAATAAAACAAGTAAGCATTATAAAAAACAAAAATATAGATAAACAAGAAAAACAGGTGGGGGTGAACCCCCAAGGACTCACCCAAAATCTCACTGTACCTGTTTTTGGCTTCTTGAAACCAGCGGTCAGCTGGGAATACACTGCTCACTTACGTGCCAAGCACCGCATTCGCCTCGTCATGTATTATGGCATTTGATCATCAGGATAACCCTCATCCCCATTTTACAGATGAGTACACTGAGGTTAGAGAGGTTACGGAGCTTGCCCAAGGGCACAGGGCTAGTCAGTGAGGAAGCCAGGATTCGATCTCAGGAGGTGGAACTCCGGACAAACCGGAGTGCAGTGCTGCAGGGGTGTATGGAACCCTGGTACTGAGGGCTGGTAGTCACTAGGATTTTGCAGGAGCACTGCAGGGAATGATTTATGCTAAACATGACCTTCTCCACAGTTCACAGGAGCAGCAACCAAGACACCACACCCCTCCCAAGGGACCCAGATGGGAGGTCATTCCCCAACACACAGTTCCCAACTCTCACCTGCTTCCATTCAAAACTTCCTCAAAAGCACTTCCTGTTTTCTGTGACTCTCCATTGAGTTTTACCCAATGAATGAGAGCCCCTTTAAATGATTAGGCCCAGAAAGGCATTTAAAATGTAATAGCGGTCATGTCCCACTCCCCCTTAAGCCAAATAATTATCTCTTGAAGACACTTGCTCTGCAGGCTCTAGATTAACTGATGCCAAGTAGCCATAAAACACCACACGCTCTATAGTTCCACAATGTGTAGCCAGTCGCTAACCAATGTTACTTCTGTAAACCAATGAGAATTCCTGATGAACAACTTTTGAAATTGCTCCCTCTCCTGATTAAACCTTTTGTTTTTCTTTAAAAACTCAGGCCTCTCTTTTGTTCTCTTGCACACTCCCCAAAGAAACTTGGAAGTGTGCTCCTGGCTGGAGTCCTCAATCTTTCTTTAACTAGATTCTGGCTTTTCAAGTATTTCAGGTTGGTAGGAACCACCAGCCACCCCTTTCTCTAGCAGAAGATTTCCCCACATCTGAGTTATTTCACCTGGAGCAGGTGCTGGAGCAGATGGGATGGAAGGGAGAGTAGGGTATCAGATTCTGACCCCTGCCCTACACCTGCAGACCTGTGGTGTATATAATACAAGGGGAGTGATGCATTTTTAAAAAATCTTTTTTGTGTTCTTTTTACAGGGACACTTCCCCTCTATCACCAGGGGTATCATTATCTCACAGATTATGGATTTTAACAACAGGAATGCAAAGAAAAAAGAGAATCGGTGTTCAGCCTTAGATCTCCCGAACAGAATTTCTGACTTGACAATGGTCCAGAAAGTGAAGACTGAAGAGAGAGGAAAAGATTTTCTAAATTGCAGGACCCAATCTAAAAAGCTACTGTATGAACCTAGAGCAGTGGTCCCCAACCTTTTTGGCACCAGGGACTGGTTTTGTGGAAGATGTTTTTTCCCCAGACTGGGGGGATGGTTTCAGGATGAAACTGTTCCACCTCAGATCATCAGGCATTACTGAGATTCTCCTAAGGAATGCAAAACCTAGATCCCTCCAATGCGCAGTTCACAATAGGGTTCATACTCCTATGAGAATCTAATGCTGCAGCTGGTGTGACAAGAGGTGGAGCTAAGGCGGTCATGCTTGCTTGTCCGCCACGCACCTCCTGCTGCGTGGCCCTGTTCCTAACAGACCATGGACCAGTAGGGGTCCACGGCCTGAGGGTTGGGGACCTTTGACCTAGAGGACAATGTCATCAAGGAATTAATTGTCCATGGCTTGGTGGAGTTGGAGGAAGAAAGCAGTGTCTTCCACAATCACCTGTAAAATGGGGCATAGAAGAGCCCTCATCTCCTAGGGCAGTGGTTCTCCAAGGTGGTTCTCTGACCAGTAGCACCTGCACTATTTTGGAATTTGTTTGAAAAGCAAATTATGGAACCCTGTCTCAGACCTACTGAATGAAAAACTCACAGAATGGGCCCTGCAATCTGAGTCTTCAGGAACCTCCGGTGATTCTATTATAGCTTTTCTATTGTTATAATTTTTAATTTTTATTTCTACTTTTTAAGCTTTTTTGTTACAAACTGAGACACAAATGCACATTAGCCTGGGCTTATACAGGGGTAGGGTCATCCGTATTACCATCTTCCACCTGCACATCTTATTGAACTGAAGGGCTTCAGGGGCAGTAACATGCAGGGAGCTGTCATCTCCTGTGATAATAATGCCTTCTTCTGGAATCCCTCCTGAAGGAACTGCCTCAGGTGGTTTTATATCTAAAATTTTCTTTTTACAGGCAGGCGTACACTCTAAAATAAGAATAAAAAGTTTAGTACAGTAAATACGTAAACCAATAGCATAGTTGTGCATTATCATTATCAAGTATTATATAATGTACACAATTGTATGTGCTAGACTTTTCTATGACTGGCAGCACAGTAGGTTTGTTTACACCAGCATCACCACAAATACGTAAGCAGCACTAAACGTTTCCACAGGTACGATGCCAGTAGGTGATAGGCAGTTTTCAGCTTCATTATAATCTTATGTGACCACCATTGGCTATGATATATGTGGTCTGTCCTTGACTGACATGTCATTATGCAGTTCATGCCTGTATATAGCATGATTTTGTTGAGCTATACTTTACATAACGTAAAACTCATCATCTTAAAGTATTTGGTGGTTTTTAGTGTATTCATTATCTTAAGCAACTATTACCACATCTAACTCCAGAACATTTTCCTCACCCCAAAAATAAGTCCTGTATTTATTAGTCAGTGTCTGAGTCTGTTTTCTGTTGCTTACAGCAGAATATCTGACACAGGGTTATTTCTAATGAAACAAAATGTATTTCTTACAGCTCGGGAGACTGGAAAGTCCAAGGTCACAAGAGGTGCATCTGGTGAGAGCCTTCTTGCTGGTGGGGACTCTCTGCAGAGTCCCGAGGTGGCACAGGTCATCGCATGGTGAAGGGGCTGAGTATGCTAACATGCTAGCTCAGGTCTGTCTTTCTCTTCTTATTAACATACCAGTTTCATTCCCATGATAACCCATTAATCTATTAACCCATGAATGGATTAATCCATTCTTGAGGACAGAGCCCTCATGATCCTATCATCCCTAAAATGGCCCATCTTTCAGTGCTGCCATATGGGGGATTAAATTTCAACATGAATTTAGGAGAAAAAATGCAAACCATAACCCACAGTTAGTTCCAATTCCCTCTACCTTCATTTGCATAATCTATTTTCTGCTTCTATAGATTTCTCTATTCTGGGCCTTTCACGTAAACAGAATCATAAAATATGGGATCTTTTGTGTCTGGCTGCTTTTATGTAGCATCATGTTTTCAGGGCTTGTTCATATTATAACATGTATCAGTACTTCATTCCTGGCTGAAAATACTGCATGGCATGAATACACTGTATGTATTCCATTGTATGAATATTAATCCATTCATCAATTGATGAACATTTTATTGCTTTCACTTTTCTGGCTATAATGAATAATGTGCTAGGAACACCTGTGCATACATTTTGCATTAACATATGCTTATCAATTCTTTGGGTATAGTCATAGGAGGGGAATTGGTATATGTGTAACTTTTGAAAATGTACATTTCTTTCTATTCTGCCTCTATCTGGTACAAGATAGAACTGAAGAGGATATAAAGCAGCAAGGTGCAATTTGAAATCAGAATGGCAACAATGGAAGAAAATGGTCTTGGTTCAACCCAATGCTCACCTGAAATCACTTTTATTAAGGATGATCAACTGGAACAAAATTGTATGTTAGTCTTCTCATGATAATTTCAAGTGTGTTTTGATTTAAGACTTTCTTTATGAAAGTCTTCAAAAATCCTACCCTTAATACGTGGAATTTTCTCTGGAGTCTGAAAATTCCCCAAATCCTTGGAGACTTGATGGTTGTTCACTGGTCAAGGGCTCTATAAAAGTTTTCTGGGGAGCTTGACTCAGTGGTCAACAAAGGCCCTTGCAAATCTTCAGTCTGATTCTGGGATCCCCAAGGAGACCTGGAGCCTTTCTCAACATCTTTTGATTGGAAAGAGCATGTGCTTCATCCTCTGTTGCAACAGAAATAGCCATTGTGAAGCTCCATGGTGAGGTGCAATGAGTTTATTCGACCATGTGTGGGCTGGATAGGCTCAGATTTACAGGTATGTTTGAGCTCTGTTTCATCTCAAATGTACAGATCTAACAGGTGACTGGATCAGTTGTACTCTTCATCTTCCTTGTATTCTGGGAAGCATGAAGTGCAGTGTCGTCTTATCGAAGGTGTTCTGCACATGCTAAGTGGTGGGGACGAGGATCACAATGAAGACAACTGGCCCCATGACATGAGGAATCATCTGGCTGGAGAGGCCCAGATGTAGCAGTTATGGGATGTTACTTCACCAAACAGGTGATGTTTCACACCTCAGGGTAACAGAACATTTTGCCTGTCAGTGCCTAGCCACTGTTTACAATCAGAGCCAAAAAGGCTTCTCTGAAGCGGAAGAAACTTTTGGGAAACATGGCCCCTGTAGGCAGACACTTCATGTTAGAGACACAGCTGCTTGCCTTGGTTTAGGTTGCTACCAAAACTCCCTCCATGTTGGTAATCAAAGCAAAACAGACATGGAGCCAGAGCCTGAATCAGATCATAAAACAAACAAACTAATTCACAAGAGTCTTAGCACTTCAGTGGTGTTGTTCCCACCCTCCTGTGGAAAGGTCTGGACATTTTAACATAAACTGGCTGTGGAGTAGGCAAGAGTGCTGGTTAGCTTTTCATTGATTGATACGGCATTGCTGACATTTGACTACTTTTCACCTTCAAAATAGCCATTTCAAGTCATTCAGTGTAATACTAGGTTTAAGTTTCGTTTTACTCCAAATGTGTCTATATGCACATAGATAAATGCTAAAACAAAAATAAGCAAATTCCTAATATTTGCTTCCTGGAAAACTCATCATTACTCTTTTGTAACCTTTCATTTTCAGTCTAGGTGAGGAAAAAATGAGCACTTTATGAGCTTTCTGAAAATTAAGATTTATTTTGAAATTTCAACATTAACATAAAAGGCTAACTTAAAACAAGAAAAAAATTAGTTAAAAATTAGAATGTTGGACATAAGGGATTTTTTTTTCCATAGAAGCCAAAATCTGACACTTCCATATATTTCCCTGGGCAACCAGACTCTACTGTTTCAGATCAGGGTGTAAATCTGCTCCATGGATAGGTGCACCATTGTGACTACCTTTTGGAATCTGATTTTTTTTTTTTTTTTTTTTTTTTAGGTAAGGAGTGTACCCTTCAGTTAGCAAGGGTACACTCACTGCCTCTCCAGACTCCTGTCAGCATTCATGGGCACTTTCCTGCAGCCCCTAGCCCCCCACCACCACCATTTCCATTTTCCACCTCTGTCTTAGATGACATTGATGTCTCATGGCTCCTCCTGTGATGTGATGAAATCTTCTGAGTCAAGGACTGAGGAGGGGAAGCCATGCTCCCTCCATGGAGTCCAGCTAGGGCCTTCTTTGTTCTCAGATGTGAGCGTCAAGAGAGGCACACCAGGAGCAGAAGCTGAGCCCTCTTAGGGCCCATGAGATGCAAGGCAAGTCAAGATCTCTTTCTATCTCAAACCGTTGACTTTTTCAGAAGTGTAGAAATTGCTCATATTTAGGGTTGGTGAGAGTGTGCGGGAATGGGTCCTCTTGTTTACTGTTATAAAGGGATGCGATATTCTTGTCTTTGGACTTGGAATTGCTCATTATTTTTAAGGGAAACATTCCCAGCCCTAGCAAATCCATTTCCATCTCATAAAAATAGTCATAGAAGTATAAATATTAAACACATCACATATTTACAGATTTTTAAATAAATCCAAGTGTTTATCAATAGGGAACATTTAATTATGATTCATCAGTATAAACATGGAAATGTATCCTTCATATACCACTGAGAGCAAAAAGTAAATTCCAGAACAATGTGCATAGTATGATCCCATTAAAAGCCAAAATAGAATAAAATAACTATGTCTATGTATTTTAATAGATGAACATAGGTTTATACACAGAGAAAGCCCAGAGGCATATGTATTAAAATAGTAACCATTATCTTTGCAATGGGAAGGAATGGGAACAGTGTTGGAAACACTGATTTTTACTTTATGTTTTATTTTGTGAATCAGTTTTTTATTTGAGCAAAAATTTTTTATAATAGAAAATAAAGTCACATAATTTAAACCCCCATCTCCCAAATACAGGAAGGTGGACAGTAAAAACTTTTTATCCACTTCAGTTCCCAGCCCACCCATACAACATCTATTGTTAGGTTTTTTTTATTATTTGTGTGTGTGTGAGAGAGAGAGACGTGGAGGCTCGCTCTTGTTGCCCAGGTTGGAGTGCAATGGAGTGATCTCGGTTCACTGCAACCTCCGCCTTCGGGGCTCAAGTGATTCTTCTGCCTCAGCCTCCTGAGTAGCTGGGATTACAGTGTGCGCCACCACACCTGGCTAATTTTTTGTATTTTTTGTATTTGTAATTTAGTAAAAATTTGTATTTTTAGTATTTTGTATTTTGTATTTTTAGTATAGACGGGGTTTCACCATGTTGGCCAGGTTGGTCTCAAACTCCTGACCTCAGATGATCTGCCCACCTTGGCCTCTCAAAGTGCTGGGATCTATGATTAGCTTCTTAGTGTCCTTCTAGAATTTATTTATGCACCTGAGGACAAATACATATATGCTTTCTTGTTCTCTCTTTTTCTTTTCCACAAAAAGTAGAACATTGTTTGCTGGCTGACATTTTATTTTTTCCTTCATATATGTTACTGTTTTTTTGTTTGGAAAATTTTTTTTACAGTGGTCTCTATTTCTTTAAAATTAAAATAAATGAGAAGTGTTGGATCTTAGGTGGGCAAGAGTTGCAGCTGTAGGGAGAGGTTACTCCACTTTCACAAATGTGATGGGGCCACATCCAGCAGTTGGGAAGCCAAGCAACATTTCAAAATTTGAAACAAAAATAGTTATTCAAGCTGAGAAGGACATATCAGTAGATAATGAATTTGCCCTCTGTGTATTGATTTTGCCCTACTTAGAAACATCATTCCCCACCTCCAGGCAGCTGGTCCTGCCTCATTTTCCTGAGACAGCTCTCTCTTCACATCTGCCCTTAATCACCGCAGGCACCCACAGCACAGGGACAGGGCAGGGGAGGATGTGGCAGAGGCAGCGTTGGGAGGGACCAGCCATTCCTTGGTTTCCAGCTGTGGGGTCTCGGGCAGGTTGCACACCTCCCCTTAGCCTGTTTCATCCCTCAGGAAATGGGGATAACATTTCCTCACAGGATCGTTGTGAAGAATAAATGAGATACGTAAACATTTGCATGTAGTAGGGCTAACTTTTTTTTTTTTTTTTTTGAGACGGAGTCTCACTCTGTCACCACCCAGGCTGGAGTGTGGTGGTGCGATCTCAGTTCACTGCAACCTCTGCCTCCTAGGTTCAAGTGATTCTCCTGCCTCCGCCTCCTGAGTAGCTGGGACTACAGGTGCGCCACCACACCCAGCTAATTTTTATATTTTCACCATGCCCAGCTAATCTTTGTATTTTCAGTAGAGACGGGTTTCACCATGTTGCCCAGGATGGTCTCCCTCTTCTGACCTCGTGATCCACCTGCCTCAGTCTCCCAAAGTGCTGAGATTACAGTCGTGAGCCACCGCACCTGGCCAGTAGGGCTAATCTTATACCACTTTATTATGGGGTCAAAGACAGAATCTTTCCAGAGGTCTTGGTTATTTAAGAAAATATTTACTCAAGGATTTGATGCGCAGGTAACCTCACTTATTTCTTTCTTCCCGTGAGCCAGGTTACCAAATTGTTGAAATTAATTATAATGTTATTGTGGTGGGTAAGCAAATATGTTAAAAGCAAAGATACAGTTCCTTATATTATTGGATTATGCTCCCAAACTTATCAAATTATGTATACATGTCTTGAGACTGTTTCAATAAGACCTAAAATATAACCCATTGTATTCTGTGCTTGACCTGTCATAATAGAGATATAGGGAATGCAAATTTGTACACACATCATGGAAAAACAGTGTGGAAGTTCCTCAAAAAATAGAACTACTGAATGATGCAGAGGTCCCAGAACTGGGTCTATCTCCAAAGGAATGAAAACCAGTACATGGAAAAGCTATCTTCACTCAGGTTCACTGCGCCCTCTTCACAATAGCCAGGATATGGAGTCAACCTAAGTGTTCATGAACAGACGAACGGATGAAGAAAAGGTGACATATATACAACATGGAATACTATTAAGACTGAAAAAAGAAGAAAATCCTATCACTTGTGTGAAATGGGTGGACCTGGAGGACATTGTGTTCAGGGAAACATGTCAGACACAGAGAGACAAATAGTGCATGATCTACCTACATGTAAAATCTAAAAAAGCTGAATTCACAGAAGTAGAGAGTAGGATAGTGTGTGCATGGGACTTGTGAGGGGATCATTAAGAAGGTATTGGTCAAAAGACGTGACATTTAAGATAGATGGGAGGAATTAAAAAAGCAAATATGAGTGGCCACACAGTCATCATTCAGTAGAGAATGTTGAGGTCGTTTTGTGAAAAGATCACATCGCATTGGAGGTATTGATAGGGCTCTCTGGGAGAAGCAGTCCTCCACAGGAAGAATCACGTGGTGTTTGTGAGGTTCGAGCTTCTCACCCCAGTGGTGCTTTGGGAGCTGCAATACCCTCTCAGGATCCTGGGTGCTGGTTGGTGCCATTCAGTGTCCTGAAGAAATGATTTCCTCAAAGGGAAATGAGCTCGTTTTCCAGAGTGAAAGTTCCTCCCTGGACACTGGGATCTGCAGTGTCTTTGAGTGACTAAAGGTCTTTCTAGAAGCCTTTGACTCCCTGGGTAGCGTGGAGTGGGGAGTGCCCGCAGGATGTAGGGCCTCTCCAACATCATCCCAGAATCAGCCTGTGTTTCCCAGGCTCATTCCCAAGTAGGTGAGGAAGGCCAGGTGGGGATGGGTGCAGGTTCTCGGGGCTTCCTTCCAGTGCGAGAATCAGGGCACAACTTTATGACCCCTCTAAGCTTTAGTTTTCTTATTCTGTGAGGAGGAATGAGAAGAAACTGGTTCTGACTCATAAAACCTGCTGATGCTACACTGACAGGGTCTCAGTAAATAGACATGGATATAAAGATGAATGGTGCCTGATGCTGCCTTGGAGTGTATGAGGAGCAGGGAACCACGTGGTGTGGTGCTGATGTCTGCCTATGACTGAGCCATGCTTCCCTCTCGGATGCAAATCCCTGCAGGGCTGGGAGGGTAAACAACATTCTCTCATGAGTGTTGTTTTTAAGGCCCAAAGAGAAGGCTGATTTGGCCTCAAGAGTGAGGTTGGCTGCCCTCCTCCACCTAACAGGATATGAGTTGAGGGTAGTTGAAATGATTCTAAATAACAGTGAGGTGATTATTCTTCACTCTTTGCTTCCCTTCTCTGAAAACTTTCTTCCTAACATGCTCAGTACTCACTTCCTGACGACTGGTATCTACATTTGCCTTGGTCCTAGCTTTTCAGATTGTAGAATCCAGATATGTTGCTTGGAATAGTTCATAGTTTCCACTAGGTCTGAGGCCTCATTGAGTCCTAGAGGATTTCCTTAAAGGAAACTGTGAGAAAAACTATTGAGATGGCTTTTCCTTCCCAAACATAGAGAGAGAGAGAGAGAGAGAGAGAGAGTTGCTGCTTTGTCCAACAGCAACTGCTTGATGAAGAGCCTCAAGATCTGACTTGGGCCTCCCAGCTCTCAGGAACCCATTCTCCACTGGCAGGGGTGGCGTGTTTACCCTGTTATTCATGGAGGAATTGGACCACAAACATTTGGGGATGTTAGG